GGCAATTGATCGCCAGAATTTTCTTTGACTAGAACCGAACTGACCGCGTGCCGGGAGGCGGCGAGGTAAAGACTCAATTTCTCCCCCGGGGAGACCGAAGCGAGTCGAGGGAGGCTGGCCAGGTGTAGCTTCATCTGCTCGAAGGCCCTTTCGCATTCCGTCGTCCATCGGAAGTTCTTCGGATCCTTCAGGGCCTGGAAGAAAGGGTGGCATCGATCTCCCGATTGAGAGAGAAAACGTGATAAAGCGACTAGCCTCCCGTTAAGGCGCTGCAGGTCTCTGATCGTCCGAGGAGGCTGCATGTTAATAATGGCCTGTATCTTTTCCGGGTTGGCGTCAATCCCTCTCTCGTGTATGATGAATCCGAGGAATTTTCCCGAGGTCACGCCGAAGGCGCACTTGGCGGGGTTGAGGCGCAGGCCGAATTTCCGCAGAGTGTCGAATGTTTCAGCCAGGTCGGAAGGATGAGCCTCCATCGTTCGGCTCTTTACGATCATGTCGTCGACATATACCTCCATGTTCCGTCCAATCTGGTGGGCGAACATCCTGTTCACCGTCCTCTGGTAGGTTGCTCCGGCATTTTTTAACCCGAACGACATAACCTTGTAAAAATATATCCCTTGCTCGGTGAGGAAGGCGGTGTGTTCTTGGTCTTCGGGTGCCATCCGGATTTGGTTGTACCCGGAGAAGGCGTCCATAAACGAGAGCCGGGCATGGCCGGTCGTGGCGTCGACTAGCTGGTCGATCTTCGGCAGGGGGTAGCAATCTTTTGGGCAAGCATTGTTGAGACTGGTGTAGTCAACGCACATCCGCCATCTTCCATTAGGTTTTTTGACAAGGACTACATTGGAGAGCCACTGTGGGTACCTTGCCTCTTCTATGAAACCGACCGCCAGAAGCCGGTTTACTTCTTCTCGGATGGCCAGTTGCCGATCCGGGGCCTGCCGCCTGGGCCTCTGTTTCACCGGGCGGGCGTCGGACGAGATGTTCAGGTGGTGCAGCGCGACCTCCGGGTGGACTCCCGCTAGGTCAGCTGGGGTCCAAGCGAAAATGTCGGCGTTGGCTTGCAGAAGGCCGACGAGCTGCCGTTGTTCTTGTTCGGGCAATCCCGACCCGATTTTGACTGTTTGGTCGGGCCTTCCTTCGATCAGTGGCAGGTCAATGGTGGATTCCTTCGGCTTGGGGCGGGGGGTCGGTTTTTTTCCCTCCCGGGGGTCTTCCAGCGGGGATTGGACCCTCGCTCTCTTGTTTAATGACACAGCGGTCAAGTAGCAGCGCCTGGACTCACAGGAGTTCCCCGCCACTTCCCCGACCCCATCGTGGGTTGGGAACTTGATGGTTTGGTAGTAAGTTGAGATGACGGCTCGGGTCTTGTTGAGGGTTGGCCGTCCCAGGATGGCGTTGTATGCCGTGGGGAGGTCGACCACCAGAAAGGAGGTCATCACCGTTTTTGCCTTCGGGAAGACTCCCAGAGTTAGGGGCAGGGTGATGACCCCTAGTGATGAGATTGAGGCGCCGGTGAACCCCGTGAGTGTTGAGCATACCGGCTTCATGTTCTCCTTTACCAGGCCGAGCTTTTGGAAGGCGTCCCAATAAAGTATATCGGTCGAGCTTCCAGTGTCGATCATGATCCTCCCCACTTGCGCGTTGGCTATTCTGGCTGATATCACCAACGCGTCATCATGTTCGGGTGGTTCAGGTTCCCCGGTCGGGAAGGTGACTTCGGGGCCTTTTGCGGGTTTGGAAGCTTCAGCTCGGGAGGCCCTGGCGTACGCCCTTTCGCCCGCCATGGAACTTCCTCCGGACGCCGGCCCGTCGGTTATGACCTCTATGTGCCGCTCGATGGGGCCCTCCGGGCGTGGCGAGAGCTCTTTATCTGGTCGGAGGTATGAGCCGAGGTGCCCTCGGCGGATGAGCTCCTCAATTTGCCTTTTTAATTCTCGACATTCCTCGGTGTCGTGACCGGGCTGCCGATGGAAACGGCAGTATTTAGAGCGGTCCGCGAGTTCGCGCGGGCTCCTCATCGGGTAGGGGTCTTTGAGAAGGTCTTTCTCCTTAATATGGAGAAATATTTCGGTCTGAGAGGAGTTCAGGCCCGGGGGAGGGGACCTAGGTACCGCATCGTTGAGGCCGCCGGCCCTGCGTCGGGAGGTAGCAGGCTGTTGTTGTTGGGACTGCTCTGGCTTGACCCTCTTGCGCTCGTCGCGCTTCCCGACCATCCAGGCCTCGGCCGCAATGTACTGGTTCGCACGCTGCAACATTTCTGGGACCGAAGTGGGGGGTCGTTCCACCAGAGACCAAAAGAATCGGGTAGGGCGCAGGCCCATCATGAATGCCTGCATCATCAAAGAAGGGTGAGCATCAGACAGCCCGCGGATTTGTGCGGTGAAGCGGTTCACAAAGTGAGAGAGGGGCTCATCCTCCCTCTGGTTGAGCCCGAGGAGCATCGCCACCGACGGTTTCGGCTTGGCATAAGCCAGGAAGTTAAGCTCAAAGTCCCTGGCCAATTGGTCGAAAGAGGCGATGGTCACGGTCTTCAGATTGCTGTACCACGCTCGGGCCGGGCCCCGCAGGGTTGTCGGGAACGCCCTGCACATCAGGGCGTCGGAGGTCCCGTATACCATTTGGGCGCGGAAAGCGGCCACGTGGTCCGCCGGATCAGTGGCACCCTCATAGGCATCTAATGACGGGAGCCGGAAATGCGGCGGGATTGCTTGCTCTTGAATCTCGGGGGTGAAGGGGGACCCCTGGTGTTGTTCGGCCCCTGGGTCTCCCCTGGTTCGGCGAACCTCACGCTGCACCTCGTCTAGCCGGCGGCCTACGAGGCGTAGCTGGGCCCACAGGCCCTCGGCCGGGTCTGAAAGCGGGGCTACAGGCGTCGGGTGCGCCGCTGGTTCCTCCGCTCCTCGGCTCCCGGGTTGGGTCGATTGGACCGGAGGCGAAGCGGGAGACTCGGGGAGCGGCGCGGGGTTTTGAGCGGCGGGCCGTTGCCGTGGTGGAGGTAGAGTCGAGTGTGAAGACGTCGGGGGAGAGACCAGCGGGATGATGGTCTGCATCACTCCAGTAAGAGCCCGGACCTGGTGCGTGAGGTCGTAGAAGGCTTCGGGTGGCACGGGTGACGGGCCACCGGGATTGGCGATGGGCGGCGATAGACCCGGATCGTTGAACAATCGCCAATAGCGCTCCGAGATCGTAGCGGGGCGCTCGTCCCGAACCCCCTCCTGTTGGGGATGTTCTTCCGCCGCGTCGTTCGGGTGCGACCGGACGGCTGGGGGTTCGTCAGAGTGGGCCTGTTGATCGCTTGACATTCGGACCGGCCCTCCTTCTAGCACCATTATGTTAGTGCAAACACCTTTTTTTCTTAGCCGTGACCCGAGAGGTCGTCTCGGCTCGTTCGGGGGTCCGAATGGCGGGGACTTCCCTGGGGCGATGCTCGTCTCCTCCGGGGTGGTTGGGGCGGCCTCGGACTCGGGGCAATGCAACGACTTCCTCCGGGTGGGGACTCCTTGGCTGCGTATCCCGGACGGGAGTCCTCGGCTTGATACCTGCACAAAGGTCGGGTCGGCTTGACCCGACCCCTCCGACGATTAAGTTAGAGAGATGCGGTGGCGATTGTTTGGGGATTTCAGCCTGCCTTCTTCCCTCTGGCTCGAGGGCGTTTATGGGGGGAACTCGGCACTATCGGCCGCGCCCTCCCGTCGGTCGGGGCCGTATCTCTGATGGCGTCCGACATCGCCGAGGACCTTGCGTATGGGAATGGGGAATCGCAGGGTATGGGCGAGCTTCAACCGCTACCTACTCCTGTCTCGTCCTACTGTGCTGGGTCAACTGAGGGACTGTGGGCTCAGTGAAGCTGACGTCCGGACGTAGACCGTCGCCCTCGTTGCTCTCCCTGGGGCGCCGCGCCTGTCCACGTGCGGGGGACGTCGCCGGGAGTGGGGTTTACCATTTTTTGCCATATCAGTTATTGTTGAACTGAAAGCTCACTCAAGCCGCCAATGTAAGTTTCACATGCAGCAAATACTTAGACAATATAAATTATAAGCATAGACTTCATAATCTCTAAATAGTTATGGGATAAAAGGTACAAGGTAGTCTACCACGATCAGAAGTTTATATAAGTGGCCACATGATACTACTGCGGAATAAAATAGCGAACTAGCCTTAGACACTACCTAATCTAACTATGTGTCACCCGTGTAATTCTTGGGTGCTATACTGGTTGACACTTTGCACCACTCTATGAAGCTAGAAAACTCCTTAAATGATTGCCTAAGTGGTTTTGTATCTGCATAATGATTGTACATAATTTGTGTTTACAAGCCTAAAACAATCATTCAAACTAACAAAAATAGGGCTACCAATCCTATTGCAAGTCTTCTATATATTGTGAAAAACATAAACAAAACAAAAAGACATAATCATACACAAGTATTACATCGAACTTCCTGTTTATAGTTTTGTTTATAACATTTTTCCCTATTTTGTGGATGCTGCATCTCCTCGTCTTTATTGAATCTTCAATTTTTTGCCCTAGTTGTAATGCACCTCTTGGCTCTCAACTACTCTTCGCTACTCTTGTTGAGTAGTTGAACTTTGATCTGCTGTGCTGCTTCAACTTACCAATGACTCTGACCCTAGTGTGCAGTCAATCGAGTTATATTGATCTTTGTTAGTTCATACATATCTTTCAAATGAAGGAAAAAATCTTTCTTATTATGCACTAGTCTCATGGTGATGATGGAGCTGATGAAATCTATCACTCTCATGTGTCACATTACCTTGAACTGTTCCAGCGTAATCCACTACACCATGTCGTCTCTTGGTGATATCTCCATTGTATTTTGATCTTTGTGGGATGAACTCAAACTGCGATCTCTCCATATGTGACCTCTACCAGCACATCATAGGGCCTCCGCCACCTTCATCCCTCCTTGCATAGTTTCATCCTTTGCCAAGTGCCCCGTTTGTCTTGAGCACCATTAAGTTTAGTTGCCAACGTCGAGCCGTAGCTCGAACTCAGCCATTCCAACCTTTGTGTGCTATGTGTTTTTCCCAACTCGCTTTTTCTCGTGGTACCTCTCGTGCGAAGGGTTGATCATTTCTTTGAATACTAATCTCATATGTCCACTCCTTTTAGCGACTCATTTTTTTATGTCTTAATGTCTGTTTCCCTCAAACGGTCACACACACTAGTTGCCCTTAACATAGCCTCGATAGGTCCCTCATGTTTATATGCCAAGTATCTCTAAATATACTTAATCTTATATTGATACCATTTATTATGGACTTAGATGGTTTTGCCTAAATCGTGTGATCCTCTTGCATATCCAACTATAAAGGATTAACCTTCTCAAAATCTCTTATAGTCCCTTAAAAACATACAAAAAAGAAGACAAATTAGAGGAAGCATTTAACTCGGGATCCATATACAACCATTTCAGTAAATGCTTGATAGATAATACAAATGACAAACATAAACTTCATAAGATTTAAACGATTATATGACAAAGAGTCTAAGGTGATCCGTCGTGACTAGAAGTCTCGATAAGTGCCTGCATGACATTGCTGTAAAATAAGACAATAAATCGACCATAAATACTACTCCAAAGGTCTACTAGTCATGTGCTACCTACGTAACTCGTGGGCACTGTGCTGACACTTTGCACTACTCTACGGAGATAGAAAACCTTCAAAATGAATGCTCTGATAGTTTTACCTCTTGTGCGATGACCACACAAACTTATATTTATAAGTATGAAATAATCACAAAAACCAACGGCTACCAAATCTATTACAAACTCTTGTAAAAAATATGAACAAAATAAAAAAATATAAACATACACAACCACCACATCCAACATCCTATTTAAAGTTTTATCCATAACAACACAATAGAAATCTAGATAACTCACATCTTGTGACAAAGATATACTTCGATTGGATTCGAACTCCCTTCACACCAAGTCGGACAATCTAAATTACTCACAATAGAACTAAATGGTGATTGAATCGTCCCTCCCGAGCTTATTGATTAGTATATCCCCTATTTACTTTTTGACATGTAGCTCGAATGAATCCTCTCGTCTCCACAATAATCATATGATCCACATGATAGACAAGTGAATCCGACGTTAACAATGACGATACATGAACACTGAATCAAGGCTGATCAATAGTTCTGTATAATGTAATGTTTCTAGTTAAAACAGGAGCATTCAATATCTCTAGCCCTAACACGCTCCATCTAAAGTATATATAGAAAGCACAGAGAATTTATTTGCAACATTGGAAAACAATTATTCATAGATTCAATTGGAGAGCAGTATTTCCAAGTATCTACCAAAGGGCTGCATATAGTACAAAACCAAGTAGCAAGAGGGAATTCATGCATTGCTAATGGCCATAAGGCACCAAAAAAAGGAAAATAAAACTATAGCATAAAGGTGGACAGATAAATCTAAGACACCAAGTTACAAAGAGTATACAAACTGTAATATCCTAATGTCGCTAGTGAAAAATAATCAGACTGCCTCCTAACAAGCAACTCGGTATGCTTCCGCGATACCTTGAAGACTCCAAACTGGCATGTGCCTGTACATAATTGCCTAAATCTTCCCTGCTACTCACTGAAGCTGATCAGATTGACAAATCTGCAGTATGCCACAAGTCAGATCAGCACAGAATCACAAATGCTATTTGGTCGATGTGTATTAGCTGCCTACTCAACAATTACTGAACAACTCAGGCTCATGTACTAGGAATCATCAATACTGATCCAGATTTCTGCATATTACAAATACTCCGACGACTCTCATCTGCTGTGCTCCATGCTAACCATAATGAGTAAGATATTGCAGCTCAGAAGTGGAGAGTGAAGTGGCAGTGACGGCAATGTCAGCAGCAGCAGAAGCTCACATGACATATTACTTTCCTGCTCCAAGCTCACCATAACAAGCAGCAGATGACAGCTTACATCAAGCACAGTGGTGGCGACAACACATTTTAACATTCACTTTATTGATCAAGGTTTGACCACGAACTGGATTGCGGCTCCGAGGTAGAGAAAGCCACAGCAGCAGCAGCAAGCATGCAACACTTTTTTTGAAGATAGAAATCATGATCGATCTCAGGCATTGGCAGCAAATTATTTTATCCACATTCATGTCATGTATTGTTCACAAATTGAAATGCCAATAACTAAAACTACCAATCATGACATACTGACTCAACCTCATTCTCCATGTTTTTCGTAACACTGGAAAATCATCTACCCCATCAAATTAGTTTACCAACCTTCTGTAGTAGCACAGCACAGGGTAGACTTTGAGTAAAAGATTCTCAGATCTTGCTAGGCGCATGGATCGCCAAGATGAATAGAGCCAAGTGATGAGGACCCTATACATAACTATAAATTACTCTTCTCCTAACCTTAGAAACTCACTGGATGGTAATTGACAGCATCTCGGTGAGATCTGGAAAGAGTAATTGCAGTTATACAAGGATCCTAATCACATGGCCTAAATGACAACATAGACAACTCCAGGGTGATACATCTTTAGCCTCAGTTGAAACATGGACAAAAGGCCAGCCATTCCCCCATGCATCAGGTCATACTAGCATTCTCTCTGGACAACTTCTATTTCTCTTCCTCACAACATATGTGGGGCACCTCATATGCCTTCACGGAATTAGCAGTAAAATTTTCCATTGCCTCAAAGATCTGCTTCAAACTTAAATGCAGACTATTTGCAGTGGAACCATGACGCACTTCATGTTCAGGTATTGATATCCCATCCTCACTGGACATTAGCATTAATTTCTTTCTCTGCCTGAGCATCAGTTGTTCCTGGCTTTCCATCAATCTCAGCTTGCTATCCATATCTCTGTTTGCCATTAACCTTTGCTGCTGCTCAAATTTGCGCTGCTGCCAGATGTTAAAAACATCATGAGCAAAAGCCTGCATTGCATCAATAACTTCTCTTTCGGATATCATATCCATACTCTGGGACCAGTAATTGCAGATGATGAATACAGGAGGTGCACCTATTCTCCCAGGCGAAAATGGAGGAACTCCATCATCTGTTTCTTCAGACACATAATGGATACCTTTGACAAGCCAGCCATTCAAAGATTTGACATAGCTCCTTTGAGCTGTAACCCAAGCAGAGAAATTTGTGATCCAATCCACCAAGTCCAACTCTAACTGCTTTATTGCATCCATATGAATGTCATCAAGTTTTACTCCATTCACAATAGAATCTAGGTTTTTAGCTTCAGATATCGCTTGACACTGAATATGATGGCATTCTGACATAACTGTCCACATTCTCTTAAACCTGAAACGTTAAATTGATTGACAAAAAATCTCATATAAATTATAACAGGAGAGAAAACAATCTAGTTAAAGTAAAATATTCCAGGATATTCATTTAAAGGACAAAAAAACTAGCACAACAGATCATAATTGCTAGCTTATTGCAAGTCAATTAATTAAGACAAACTTGATCCTAACAGAAGCATGAAATAACAAGCAAATGGAATCATAAAAAGACCACTTACATAGAAAGAAGGTCACAGACAAGTGTGAGTTAGATCACCTTATCAGTTCAACAATCCAGATTAAGAAATCAAGCCACAAGCATGCAAATGAATCTCTCGTATTCAAAGCATTGTCAATAATGTGTCCGTGTATAGAGGAATCAGACAATTTCTTCTCACTTTAGCATATATATGTACAAACTAACATTAGGGGCATATTTCAACTCCAAGAACAAGAAGCTCAATTGATGTGATACAGATATAAATCCAGGTTTTTCTATGTGACTTAATGAAGAGAAACTGTGGGAAATTGTGGTAAGTAAATGTTGAATAACTCACCTGGTGAGGATGAAGTATCTAGAATTAATACTAACTAAAAAATAAAAATAAAACTACATACTTGCAAATTAAACCCCCTGAAAACTAAGAAGTATGAATTAATCCAGTTTCAAGAAGAGAACTATTACACATTTTAGTTGGACCATCTTGGCAAGAGGTGGGAGAATTCCATAATTAGAAATAATTGCATGATTATAAATAGTTGGAACACCATAAGGTACTGAGCAAAGGACGACAATTTCCTTGATTGATTGGAGTAATATATGAAAATTAATCAGTTGGACAGCAAACACCTGTTTGACAAAACACTGGATGTCATAAGGGTTAACAGTTGGAGACAGCAAGGGAAAATAACTTCCCGAATGAAAGATACTTGTCCTATATTGTCTTATGACCCTACTGCAGATTACCCTCGTATGCAATTTCTTCCTACAAGGGCTGAGATTCAGGAGTTCAGCAGAAAGTGACAAGACTCTATGGAAAAATGTAGAAGTTTGTGGTTTGCTCTGAAACCTAGATAGCATCTTACGTTAGCAGTAACTTTATGAAGATCGAAATACGAAGTCATAAGCACAAACAACATTCGATCCATCTGACAAGACACAGTGGTTCATATGCTGGTAGATGTGATCCATCTTTATGAAAAACAATTAAAAAACATAGGAAAACGAAAATCAACAATTAATAAAAAAACGAAGAATTACAGCACTTCTTGAAACATGTCAATTGTAGCTAATAACCTATTACTAAGAAAATACCATATTACTCAACATAAGCTATTTCAGGGTAGGAACACATTAAGCCATATGATCACATACTGAATGAGAAAAACAAGAAAATACAGGAGTGATAATGAAGAGGAGAGCATCACATAATAAAGAAATAGCATGAATAGAGGAGAAAAGATAAATACTAACCACACGACATGAAAGAGAAAAACAGGTAGAACTATGGAAAAGAAGATGCAGGTAGAGAAGAAGACCATGAAGAAATGAGAACAGAGGAGGTTCTTTCCAATGATCTTTTATCATAAATGAAGTGCTTAGCCTATTATTTGCACTGTTGAGTCATGCTAATCTATCTTCTCTGAAGCACTAATCTAAGCAACCTTAACACACTCATTAAGATGTAATACAGTTCAAAAACCATATCAACATTTTTATCTTGCATGTTGCACTCAGTACTTCAAGAGATAAGGGTGCATAGATTGCCACTCCCTAAATCCCACATTGACGGGGAATCTCATGTACTGGATTTTGTCCTTTGTGCAGAATGCACTCCATTTGCACATGTCAAATAACATTAGAACCCCACAGGCTTCAGTTGTTATATGCACAAGGTTATATTAGGTTTGCAAATCCTTGATCAACATATGTTCACTAGTGGAAATATGAATATGCAGTTGTTTTTGTAATACCAATAAAAGTGTAGCTTCACATTGCAAAGTTAACATGGGAACATTTTATGCAGTGCAGGAAATTTAGTGTTTAACCTTTTCTATTGGAACTTAATAAATGAAAAAAAAAAAGAGGATATTAATTGATATTTCTAGGTATATACTTCTGCCCCCAAGATGGCATCTTGGATTTGATCCAGGAATAAAGGAGACAAAGTTTACAAGTTCTCATCCTCAATATACAGTTAAACAGAAGATTCAAACTTGCTGAAACTTATAGCATCAGTCACTTTCAATTAGCATAACGAATGAGGCTACAGGCATCATAATAGTGGACCACAAAAGGGTGTCAAGGTAGAAGTAAATTCTTAGCATGATTAACATTACAGAATAATATCTATTTCACAAAATGGTGCTAGATAGGTCAGCAGCATTACCATGCCCCAAGTGAATAGATTAATATTAGTAAATGAAACAAACATACATAGGGCAATCAAGAAAAGAGACATTATCCAACAAGCATGGTGTTACCTTTACATCACATTCATGGTGATCAATTGAACATAAACTCTAAGAAGAGGTCCACAAAGAGAACAAGAAATTAGTAAAGGCAGCATTATCATCAAGAAATTCATAAGAATCAATATTACAATAAAAAAAGATTCAAAATCTACCTGGCCAACAATCATCTTGTCAATGGATCAAAAGATGGAGAGTAATAACAATTCTCTGACAGTCACATGGCTAGATTACATTATCTAAAGAAGAAGGCATTCTGGGGACAGAAACAACTAATTTTTTCTAACAATTGAAAAGCATATGGAACTACAGAGTCTCATGTCGCATCTGAGTTAAAAACTATGTGTGGTTCCAAAATTCTATATTCAAGAAGAGTACAAAATTAGCCCAGAGACACAGTGCAATTAAGATAAAACAAAATAACATACCCTTGGATAAGTTCGTTAATTTGTGGCCATAATTCTTCGTCCCTCAGCTGATTGATTTTACTTGAAATTGTGCCCACAACCTGAATGGCTATTCTTATCTTTGTGGATAATTTCCTAATGGAAATTTCAACTGCCTCAAGCTTTTCAGCCTCTGCACCCCTTTCGCTCAAACGCCTCAGGTACTCACATTTTCTATCATATAGAACCCTAATCTTTTCCTCGGCCTGCATAAGTTGAAACTAAATAACGTAAGCTACAGAATCACACATATGCATGCCTTACAACTTAAGTACTAGCAGTTGTGCAAGGAATAATTAGTCAAGGTTTAATAGTATGACTTCAGTAAAACTAGAAACATGGTTAAAACATTCAAGAAAACTTTGTATTATGTTTTTACAGCTTGAAAAACACCAAGGTACTGTAATCACATATGTAGTATGTGGGGCATATGCATGACATAAAAGAGGTTCAAAATGATATAATAAGTTATACAATACTATATATATATATATATATATATATATATATATATATATATATATATATATATATATAATATTGAAGCAATAAATAAATAATTATGTTCTACGGTCAAATCATGAGTATATGGAATCATTTAAATGACAGGTCATGAGAAATTTCTGGTATATATATCATTGATCACTGTGTTGGAAGAATATGCAATTGTGTTTCATGCTCACTGTATATGTGGTTGCATATGCAGCCACATTTTTATGTTTATGTGGGCCATATAAGCAGCTACTTTGTAGACGTATATAACTGCACATGTGGCAGATATGCTGGAAGCAATGTGGTTTTGTTGACCGCATAGGTTACACAGTCAATATTGGCTCTTATTCATGGTATACGTGCACATATGAGAAAATGAGTAATGGAGGAAATATATAGTAATGAAGAAATAGGTGGATTGAACCAACATATGATTCTTAATGGATTCTTATTGATCAACACAAACTGTGTAAGATGATCCAACATGAGTCTATGAAACAAATATTATTAATATAAAAGATATTAGATGAGAAAAAGGTCTCATAGATAAAGATGACAGTTTCTACGGTAATGTTTGATAATCTCAACAGCCCAATATGCACTTGGATCAAGAATCTAGAATGCCTGGCCTATTTACTTTCTTAGGCTTGATGGTAGATAAACGCTGAGAAACCAAATGCTTCCTCTCATTTATGTGAGAACATCAAAAAATATCTGCGAAGGAAAAGATATGGTCAAAGAAGACATATCTTAGCCTGCTTAAGATAAAAAAAATATAAGTACTTATTTTAGGATGGATATTTGAAGAAACAAGTTCTCTGACGTTGTTCTCTCTGCGCTACTCTTTTCTTATGCTCTAGACAAATTTTAAACATTGTGACTCTGTTCAAGTCGTAACTGGAATAAATAACTACAGGATGAGATAGCTAAGGGCCTACAGAAACAACTGCTGTACTAACCATGACTTCCTCGAGAAGTTTTTTTTCCCAATTGTAAAGCTTCTGCAGTGTTGATGAAAGATTACCGCAGCCCATAGCCTTCTCTTCCTCAAATACCAAAAGGTCTTCATTTTTAGATGTCAGAAGTAGCGGAAAACCACATATCATCCTGGCAGAAGCTGCTTACAGAAGAAAATAGTGCAGAGAAAAAAAGAAAAAAAATTAGATTTTGCTCCAAATGTCGTACAAATGCAAAGGGAATGTTTGAAGAAGAATTGCAATACTAGTTCCACCTTTGTACACAGAATTCTTCTGGTGGTATAGATGCTTTCCGGCTTCAAGCATCTTGGCCACTTGATCGGCCGTCTCAAACGCCCTGTCAAACTGGGTTTTTATCTCCTGCATGACTTCAGAAACATCCTGATAACTTCGAGAGGTGGTAAATCCCACAGCACCTCGTCGGTCTGCTGGTTCAGTCACTACATTCTTCTCAACCACATGAACCTCATGCTCTGAGCTACCGCCTGCCTCTACCAACCTCGACTTTTGACTGGGATCCTCGCCGCCACTGTCAATCACACCCTCTTTCGACTCCGTAGCAGCCTTACCTGTGTACTCTCCGTCCGCAGCAGCCAACGAGGAAGGTACAAACTTTGGGTCACCATAGGCTCCCTTGATGACCTCGTGCCCCTCGTCTTCCAGATCAGGGATCCCTTCCTCGTCCCTCAGCTCCTTCGAGCTCCGGCTTGGCGTATAAGAAGCACAATAATTATCGTACGAGTCGAACGGATTGAGGAAGTCCCATGTTGAAGTCCTGGGAGGTGACGGCGGTGGTGGAACTTCCGGAGTAGTAGTAGAGCTTCCGCCAGCTGCCACAGCCGGTGGTGGGATGTTTCGATGCGGCGAAGAGAAGCCAAATATGCCGCCGCCCATGCCACCATCATAGCTCGTATACGAGTTAGCAGGATAGGAGTACAGATTCGCACTTTGAGGGGGGTATGGGTAGCCGTAGTAAGGGAAAGCCGTGGGAGGCCGTTCATCCACGGAGCCGAAGCGTATTGTCTCGGAGCTCGGCGGCTGCAGCTCGTAAGCAACTGACGACTCCGCCGGGCGGTTGCGGGAGTAGTTAAGGTTGACGTACGTCTGGCCCACTGGGGCGTCATCCGCGTAGAGGGGGTAAACGGGAGGCGCTCCGTCCGAGTGGAGCGGCAAATCGTCGACGTCGTCGGACTCGGAATCCGAGGGGCGGAAGTGGATATGCGAGCCGGAGTGGGAGCGAGAGTGGGTGCGATCGAGGAATGCCGCGGCAGCGGGAGGCGGGGAGGGAGTAAGGGGCGGCGGGGGATCGCCCTTCCGCTGGGCGGGGAGGGGGAGCACGGGGGACGCGGGGGGCAGCGCGCGGGCGACGTTGAGGAACCCCTCGAGGGCCGCGCCGACGGAGCGGAGGGAGAGGGTGTAGGCAACATGAGCGTCGGCAAGGGCGTAGCGATGGCGAATGGCGTCCGCGAGCAGCAGCGAGCGCTCACGGCAGTGTGCCACCGCCGCCTCCTCATCCAGCTTGGAGACCCCGCAGCCCATCCAACGACACGGAAACCCTCAAATCGAACAAGAAGAGAGGGGAGCCCCAGCAGCAGAGATCACATTCTACGGTTGTTCTATCAAATGGAAGGAATCGGAGAGGAGGAGAAAGCAGAAAGGGTGGGAAGAGGGGCGGTGGTGGTGGGGAATCCAAGCCCGGTGGTGGAATAGGGTATGCCTTTTTTGTGCCAGAGCGGGGGGCGTACTACTACTTCCACCACAAGTAGGGATACCATATCCCCGGCGGTAGTAGGGATAGCTCATACCGTACGGAATCGTTACACTAATAAGACGCAGCAGGGACAACGTATGCACCAGAATTATACGGCGCGGGATACGCTATTCCCAAGTATTCCCGTTGGGAGGCCGCCGTTGCGACGCGCTTCTTTTCCTTTGGGGTTTCTGCGCCTCGCTTTGGAAGGCGGTTGAAAAGGTGATGTGACGAAAATACCCTCATGGGCCGACAACTATCATTTCGGCGGGTTGCTGACCCCTGTCGGAGTCCGTGTCAGATCCCGAGTCGGACGTGACTCGGACTCGCGGCTCACGTGTCAGAACCGGCGGTGACTTAAACCAAGAGTGTTTAGCTCCAACCTTAATTCTTGACCGTAATTACATATTATCAAAGTACTTAGCTAACTTAGCTATTATTAGTGTTCATCCATATATTTTAAAAAATTACATACTTATAATTATAAAAAGTAAAATATCTATATTCATTTATCCTAACATTATCAATTTTATCAATGAAAACATAAAAATAAAAAATAAAAAATAAAAAATAAAAAAGTATGTTTAACATTTTAGTTAATGACGAGAGGATATCGATGGTAGCAAACGATCGTGCTATTGAAGGTTGCGGGTGGCTATTATGGATAAGAAGTTGGATAACGAGATATGATGACTATCTATGTCAACATCGATACAATTACCAAGTAACCCTTTCGTCATTCTGTATCTGTATCTGTGTCGGCGTCGATATAGTTATCAAGCAGTGAAAGAGCTACTTGATATTTGCATCAATGCTACTTGCTATGTATTGAGTAACCCTTTCATCGCTCTGCATCAATGAAAAGGCTACTCGCTCTATATCAAATAACCCTTTTATCGCTCGATAATTACGACGATATCGACGAAGATGTAATATGGTGAAAGTGTCACTCGGTAACTGTATCAATATCAACATAAGTACAAAGTAACCCTCATCTCTTATCATCAATCTCCTAATCCATAACAACCACCGACAGCTTCCAACGACGTCATTGTTCGTCACCACCGGCATCGTCCGTCGCTACCAACTAGAATGTTAAAATTACTTTGTTTTCATTTTTTTCGTTGATAAAATGGATGATGAACCTAGATGTTTCACTTTTATAGGGATATCAATATAACTTGTTAAGATGTAAGGATTGAGATATTAAATATAATTAATTACACGTGATAATATGTAATTAGTATTCCTTTTAAATTAATGCTTTTTTTAATTATATTATTTATATGACTAGCTTCATCTAATCTAACTTAAGATTTATCTGCCCAAGTCAACTAGACATCAAGCATATTACATGATTAAGACAAGTATTAAACAATTGCGTTGAAGATGATTGGAAACTACATGCATAACATACGAAGGTGTAGTCGATGTCAATAGAACATTCGGTCAAACTAATATCGTTGACTACGTCAGGATGCATGTCGGAAAGCTAACCGTGGATGATAAGAAATGATACGTAAAGGAAATGTTTATATGACAGCAACAATCCTCAGAATGTGATGAAGGATCAAAATAATCTGCCATAACTATGGAATATATCGTAAAATTCTAGAAAATTTGAGATGGTCGACCTCGACAAACTAAAGATATGCAAGCAGAGAAGTCCAAAGTGAAAACCGAGATGAGCTTATTATTAAGATGCCCTTCGATGTTCTTGTTATGTTAGTAGTTGATGTAGCTTTCTTTTAACTTTACCTGCGTTATTTTGCCACATCAAATAATGTTGGTCTCTCAAGCATTGGGCCATATATGTGTACATGCTTGCAGACTAGGGTTTATAATGCTTTGCATGAGAACAAGACGCAGAACAGGAGAGAGAACAAGAGAATCCCAATGATTGACAGGAGGAGGACAGCAATCACATTGCATACAGCATGATTCCATGCAGGGCTGGAGCCCCATGCCCTCTTCATTCATTCATCCATTCTCCCTCAACAGATATAAATGGCTCTCAGGTATAGTCAAGGTATAAATAAATGTCTCAGCATTCACTGCATGATATGCCACAAGTTCTTCATTTCATCTTAAAATAACATGGAGATCACAGTGTTTACTAAGTACCTTCCATTAGATATCATGAAGCATTGCATGAGACATCAAAGGAAGTGTTTTACTTAGTTCCCTCCACATCCTTCCTTTGTGAGTGAAGTGAGCTGGTAGGTTTGGAGAAAAAGTCTGGGATCCGCATCTGATCTAGCAAAGCAAATGTTCGAGAAATGTAACAGCTAACAGTGACAGCTACAATACTCAAATCTTTCCTATCCATGTCTCCCGGAGAGACAAGCACTCTTTTGCCTTTCCTTCAAGAAATGAGTAGCCATATGTTTACACATCATCTGTCCGAGAAGATTGTATTATATACATCAATCACATGTATGTTCTTTTGGTGGATTCGGTGGGACTTCCATCTCTCTCATTGTCAATCCAAGGCACACATGATGACCACTTTTGCCTTTCCATTAAGAAAATGAATCTTTCTCCCACTGGTTGGAGTGGTGTTAAATACTAGATCAGATGCATGCACACAGTTTGCCTTAGAAGAAGAAATATAGCAATGCAGAGAGAGAGAGAGAGAGAGAGAGAGAGAGAGAGAGAGAGAGAGAGAGAGAGAATGTGTGTGTACATGCATATATCATTGGGTAAGTAAAAGAAGAAGGATTGGGAATTGGTGCCAATGCCAAGTCTGCGAGAGGATGAAGTCAACCCGGTTAGGACTTGGGATGTGGCAGTGTTGATGAAATAGCCTGGCTCAGGAAAGGCTGCCACAGTTGATTTGGGATGTACCATATAACATGGCTGCGTGGTCCAGAGAACCAAATAAACTTGGAAGGAACTGAGGACACAAAACAAGATGCAGATGGAGGATAACCGGCATCTAATCGTGGGGCCAATAGTTTTTGGATTGATCTTTTGGTGCAAGTGTACCATTCAACTGTGTGTGTGTGTGTGTGTGTGTGAGAGAGAGAGAGAGAGAGAGAGAGAGAGAGCAATAGCTTTGAGAACCTGACAAGCTCACTGCTGGATGGCACAGACTCACATTATTGTATCTCATTTATGATCTCCCTCTCTTGTATGTAATATTTGCAAAGTTACTGTGTGATTACAAGGACAAATGAGTCTCAGATTCATGAACATGATGGTGATGCTGTCAAATGCAATGATCATATAGATAGATAGATAGATAGATAGATAGATAGATAGAAATGACTCTTTTTGTTTATTTAGGGAATGGAACATATCACTGTTCAAATATGTAAAACTCTAGAAATACTATCAAGATGAAGGTTGAGACTAAAAAGAAAGAAGAAGAAACTTGGGAAGTTGCAATTGCACCACCATAACAAGAGTACAAGCACAGAAATTATACTACAATTAAATCTTAAATATATCCTCATATATGCCTCTCAAAAAATCAGTAAAATCCAAGGTATATTTAAATTTTATTGTAGTCTCTATCCCAATTAAGCTTAACCAGGACCTATTTAATCGTGGTTTGCTTAGACTCTAGTGATAGAGCCAAACAGCAAGAATATATTTACTACTTTTCAAGTATATATGAACATGCAAATGTGATTATTTCTTTACGACCTAAGAGCAGAGTCTCGTATATTGAATATATCTTTTTTTAAGAAATATATTCATTGCTCTATAAATGTGATCCTAAAGAAACATTCTCTTAAAACATGAGGAGTTCAGAATCACCCTAATGAAACATTCTCTTAAAGATCCGGTTCTTAAAATACCATGAGCTTAAGGAAATGTTCAGGAAACATATCAGCTCAACTCTATGACATTAATCTTAATCTGACACTAACTGCATGCATCTCGTCCGGATACATATAGATCCTTAGTGCAATCTGCATGCATTTAATCATGCAGAGCCGATTACTCGGTTATGTGAAAGAAAAAGAAAACAAAACCTACGAATACATCTCGAAAATTAATGCATTTTCAAGTACAAGAATCCAAGCAAATTGTAGATGCCCGATGCATGCATTAGCCAGTGCATCACATCTTATCTTCCTCATCTACATCAAAGCACATGGATCAAGGGATCGAGACTGTTCCTGAATGGTATTTTCCAGTGTCATCTCCAAGGACACTAGAGCAGACAGCTTCCAATTGATTTAAGGGAAGGGAGGAGAGAAGAAGAAACAAGGAGAAGCTAACAAACGAAGAAAGAAGGAACAAGTCTTGATCCATATTCCCAAAGCCAGCGGAGTTGTGTGTGTGTGTGTGTGCCCACCGCGCTGCACATGCCACCCGGTACGCCATTGCTGCACCTTCCTTGCCTTCTTCTCGCTTGCCCTCCCGCTGTTGCCTAATCCTCGCAATATTAGACGCCCATCTCGAATCAAGATCCTGATGGCTTTTCCGCGTCGATGGAGATGGGGACGGGAAGACTTGACAGGGAACAGTGGAGGGTACAGACTCACGTGGACAGTAGCAGCCATGCATCACTTGGACGTGGCAGAAGCGAGCAGCACAGTGTTCTTGTTTCATGTGGTGGCTACAAAGAACATAAAGGAAAATGTGCTATATATATATATTCATCTCCTTGTTTCCATCAAACACCAGAATAAAGTAAGCACCATTGATTATTTCTTAAACTATATCATCATATTTTATATATGTGTTAGATGTCACTATTAAAATGGACTATTAATTGGCCAATGATTTCAAGGTAAAAACACTGCATGTTCACTTAAGCTTCATCTGATGAGATGGCTTGGCTCCTACGAAAACTACAAGATGTGGCACATGAATCGATTGATGGAATGGTCGAGTCACATTGGCGTGTGATGTGGCAAACATGGGGTTGCACCCTAAAGGGAGGGGAATGATCAATGATTGAAGTACCAGTAGAGGCGTCGATGGAGTGAGAGTCCCATTGGATTGGAGTCCATCGAGATAGGACAGCGAGGATTGAGGTTATCTACAATATCAAT